CACACACACACACACACACACACACACACACACACACACACAAACAAACAAACACACACACATACACACACACACGCCCACACACACATACACACACATAAATACATACTTGGTGCTGGCGAAGTTCACTATGTACATCATCACGTCCATCGTCAGGTTGCGTTCCTGTCCAGTGTAGTTCCCGGACTCTCCTAGCGGCATCCCGAACGTGTAGTCGAGATCGTCGGCGTGCGCCGATCCGATCCACTCCGGATACGCCGACGACTCGGTCCGGTGCGAGAACTGGTACATGTAGACGTCGGCACCTGTCTCGGCCCACAGCAGCGCGAATCGGTTGACGGGACACGTGAAGTGGTAGTCACCGACCATCGCTCCGAGTGCGCGAGCGTTCTCTCTGTCTCCGTACGGCCACGCCGAGTAGATGTAGCGGATCACGTCCAGCGTGCTCTCGCCGTAGCGTGGGAAGATCCTCGCTACGGACTGTGAGTACTGCGCGCGGCTGACTGCCGACGAATTCATCGTCGGAAACAGGTGCGGAAGCCCGAACATGACGAAGAAGGTTCCCTCATCGGCGACGCTGCTGACCATGATGGGGACAGTGTCGCTCACCTGGGTGACAGCTTTCTCGGGGGGTGACAGAAGGAAGTAGTTGTCGACAGTGGGCGTGAACGCGTGCAGGAGGATACCTATCGATTCAACGACGCCCGGCTGCAGGGAAGTCCGCGGGAACGCTTCGGCCGGAACTTCACGAAGACAGTCGACGACTTCCTGTTCCGTCGGTCGGTCGCATTCGAGAGCGGTGACGAGTTTGCGCGACAGGTTCAGAATCCGCTCGGGGGCGCTGTACGAGTAGCGACACAGTGGCGACGAGCTCTGCAATATGGCCGCCGAGAACAAGCCGGCGCTGAGCGGCGAGAGAAGGTGGTAGCCGACAGCCGACGCACCGGCGCTCTCTCCCATCAGCGTAATACGCCCCGGGTCTCCACCGAAGGATGCAGCGTTCTCCTTCACCCAGCGCAGTGCTAGCAGCTGATCCAGCAGCCCCATGTTACCCGCCACCGCGTCGCCACCGAGATACATGAACCCGAGCGCCCCCAGGCGGTAGTTCATCGAGACGACGATGACGTAGCCGTAGGCGGCCAGGTATTTGCCGTCGTAAAGATCGAGCGTCGCCGAACCCATGAAGAACCCGCCGCCGTGTATCCAGACGATGACGGGCAGGTGGCCGTAGCTGGTTTTCGGCGCCCACACGTTCAGGTAGAGGCAATCCTCGCTGATCTCCGTGTTCACCTCCCACTTGTCGGTGACGTGATACGTGATGCGCGACAGCGGCGCCTGCGGACAGGTGGCGTGCCGTTCGGTGGCGTTCAGCAGGTGGCGCCACGGTCGCTTCGGCTGCGGACGCGCGAAGCGCAGCGCGCCGACGGGCGGCTCGGCGTACGGGATGCCAAGGAAGATGCGCGTGCGAATGTCGAGCACCATCTCCTGCCTTCCCCTCACGCGGCCGGTCGTCGTGCGAGTGATGGGAGACTTCAATCGTCTCCTGGAGGGCCTGGCCTCCGCTGCGCACGTGGTCAGGGCGAGGATGAGGAGAGTGAGCTGCAATGATGTCCTCATCGTTGCGGCTGCTGCTGATGAACGATGATGAGCGGCGATGTTCACTCGTTAACAAGCAGCAATGTCTGTGTCAGCTTGATAATTTCCTGTTATGAATACAAATAAAATAAATTGTTAAAATAATGTTAAAACAAATGTTAAAATATATAATAATAACAGACCTACACATTCACCAATGCTATCAAAATCAGGGCCGATGATTGTACATCTCTACGAGACTCTTACTTCATCTTGATAAAAAAAGAACTGTCGCTACATCACATTATCCCTACTCTGCGTAACTAGACTAAAATATAGGGGGTGGGTGAACGTCGAACGCTACGTTAAATCTCGAGGTCTCACATTTCGTTGTTAAGGTAAGGGGTTGCTCCAGAGGGGCTACAAACCTACCGGGAAGCTTAGGACCACCGGTCGAGGGGAGGAATCGAGTAACTCATAGGATAATCTATGAAAGTATTTGGAGTCGTTCTTTATCTGTAGTCATCTCTGGTCGCAGTAACAATCAGTAGGACGAATGACTGATTTTATTCTGTGCATACGATAATTTGCAATATGTAAATACATAGATGGTGCAATTGTTTCCTTCTAAACGCGCTGAAAATGTAATCATTAAAATTTGGAGAAAAACAATTAGGAACCCCTAGTTTTAGATAGCTGCTCGCCTACTATTCTTAATATTTAACCCCCTTCCGTCGGCGACCGAGATTCCACTCCCGAGGCAGGCAAAATACCCTTCACGGTTTTATGTAAATCATACTAATTATATGTCTCACTGTGCATGTGTAAAATTATTATTTCGTCATTAAAATATCTCAAAATTTAATATCTCAAGTGGGAATTCGTAATATCAGAAGTACATAATAAAAGAACGTTTTTATTTTTATGTGTGTGTGTGTGTGTGTGTGTGTGTGTGTGTGTGTGTGTGTGTGTGTGTGTGTGTGTGTGTATGTGTGCGTGCGCGCCGCGTGTGTGTTTGTGGTCCTGTGGATAGTAGGCCTACCTATCGCTTCCATTTTTAAACCATTTGATAAGTTTGTTACGAAAATATTTTATGTTACCGATCTCTCTGCCGCACGACCAAGGGTTTTGGCACCAAACACACACACACACACACGCACCCGACACAACAACATAGGCGCACCCCACGCACGCACGCGCCGCGCACACACACACACGCACACGCAACACCAGCAGCCCCGCAACACGCACAAACGTCACACCCCACGCACACGACAGCAACACACACACACACAACACACACACACACGCACGCACGCACGAGACGACCACGCGTACA